CATCGCTGGGATTTGTTTAAACCGTCGTGCGATGTTGTTTGCAAATTTCGCTCTCGTGTCCACCGAAGAGGATGTTTCCCATTTGATTCTCCGGTTGCTGCTGCTGCCGGATCTTCGTATGGTACTCCATTTCGTACAGCACAGCGTGCCGTTTCTGTTCTTTCCATCGATTATTGCAATCCTGCGTAGTCGTAATTAAGTTCTAATGCTAACCTATAGTTTGTCAGTGCTCTTCCTCTCTGTACGAATGACGGAGATATTGAGGATTACACTTTAAATGTTTTTGTGTGCAATTTGTGTTGCTCAGAATTAGTCATTTCTAAAACAACTGACCTATGATCAGCTTCATTAGGTGTCTTAAAAAATGTAATTCTTAACGAGGAACTATAATGCCATGCATATACAAAAATTTCAGTAATTCTTGCCTGCTCTTTAAACCCACATGTATGCAATATTTTTGCCACTGAGCACTAGTCGTAATAAAAGGAATATGACAGCTAATGATCTGAACTATTTACTAGTGACGTTTACCGTCAGCGTTTGTGATCAGCAGGAGAGAAAAGAAAGGCCGTTGCGATGTCATTTCTCTTAATTCCGAAAATGACATCGTTTGTGGCACCTTCGTACATGACGCTTATAATACGGCTCTAATCTCTACTTAAAAGCTATCAAACAGTGTTGTTTATTTTTGATTATAGCGTACAAAAATATAGCCAATTAGTAGTACTCATGTTACTAGTTTAAAAGGGATAAAATACCATTGATATGCAAGAGATTTGAACTGGCACTCTTTCTTCGAGTCCTCACTCCACCTGCTACAAGGAAAAGGAAAGTTTGTAATCGTTTGAATGTCGATCTTCCTTGCACTTACATAATGGGATCGGTTTTAGCACCCTTGTGAAATTAGTGGTGGGAGCACTGACCTCTATTTCCGTCTCATCAGCAAGGAGTGCCCATTTTTTGAAAGCAGAATCGACAGTAACGCTGACAAGCATAGTTTGTATTTACCTGTTTCATTCTAACTCGTCTATCAACCTTGGAAAGAAGAAATGCAAGTGACCCTGCCCGGGGTTGGATCCTAAGACCTTTTGGTTCTGAGCCCGACGCTCTACCGATCGCGTAATTCTAGTCTAAAGCAACGTATGGTAAACTCCTTGCTTAAGGAAATTCCTGATAAAAACAAATATTGCCCGCCCCGGGAGTCAAGCTAGACACATGTTGTTCGAAGCTTACATCTTGCGCACTGCACCGCACCATATCATTACCTACTTCGCCTTCGACGAATGAGCTGTGTTCCGTAATGTCTCTTCCAACCTCAGGTTCATGTCACTTTCAAGTCACAATTCAAATGCCTGATCTAAATTGGATGTTTTATGTCCATTTGCAGACTGAAGGCGTTCCTTTAGAAAAAGCAATGAGAATGCAGTAGCACAGTAACTTCCATTTGGTCTTACATAAGACGGGAGAAAAGGAAGTGATAGCAGTAAACTAATTGGAATGCGCCATGGCATCACCACAGAAGCAATGTACATTTCCAGTCATTCTCAAAAACTGATTTGAATCGTTGCCTTCGATGACGTCGTCATTTGACCGTTTGGTGTGGAAATGAATGACTTAAAATTACTAATATTTCTATGCGCATTCAGGAACCATCTACAGCGCGAACAATAGAGGAACCCAGGAATAGACGTGGAACCGAAATTGAATTGGTTCCCTTCTTGAGAATGATCTGACTTCAGCGGAATGTGAGCAGAGGGGGTCTATAAGGTTACCTCTTTTTTAGACGGAAGGTTAAATCATCTGTACTCTGATTGTTTTATGGCGACCAGATGATGTTGCATGCTTATTCGCATTTCCCATGTTAAATTGCATGGCAGAGTCACAAATATGCAAATTTCCGCGCCGGAAATCATAAAGCTTGAGCACTAGACCTGTCACGGCTAACTCACTGCTTAAGAGTATGAAAACTTGATCGGTTAGTGTTTGTTTCAGTACGCTCTGTATTTAGTTGACAATGGATGAATTGGTAGATCTTGTACCAGCAAATATGCAGTGTGTTGAACAGACTATCAAGGATATGCCGGTGTGTATCATGAACGGTAAGCTGCTATTTTGCTTGATAGGCGTTGCTCTGTTTTCAAAAACCTTGTCAGAGAAAGTATAGGCATGAGTTTATTGTAAACTATGGTGTACCTATCTATTTGTGCTTTGTTTTTGTCATCGTCATCTGAGGTATCAGTGCAAAGAACCTGGTACCTAGATTAATGATGCCTCATAATTTCAGCTTTTAGACATGATTAAGGCAGGCGATGTTCTTTGTAGCAACAACTCCACCGCTGCTGGATGAGAAAGGTGGAGGGTTGGAAACCGTGAAGAAGTCTCCGTATAACTTAACCATTGCCAATCATGGTAATTCCGTCTTTGAAAATTATACCGGCTCTGACGTAGCTCGGTTTACCGAGGGCAGCGCAGGTTGCTGGGGGGACTGAGGCAGACTCCGACTGCGAAAAGTCGGCGATCAGAACCTGCTCATCGCCTTCTGCCATCCGGGGACGAAGCCGCACAACAAGTGCTGACGAAGATCGACGAGGATACTAATCAGCAGCGGAATTGCTGCCCGTTCTGAACGCAGGAGGCATACAGCTAGGTCTTATTACTGCACGTCAGAAAAGGCGCCATTGGAGGGACTCGACAGGGAGAGCTGACATTCAGAAATTCGAGTATATCCTCACTCAGAGTGAAAGAACAGGAACTAGTTGACGATTCCGCAAGGTGCCACCTCGACGTAGTTGAACTCTCTTCAACGAAGCGCCAAAACTCTTTAATCCTGGACCTCTGGAGTGAGAGCTATTCTGCTCAAATGTCGATATCACGACGCGCGCTCAGGCCGGTTTTTGTGTTCTGGCAAAACCTAACCTTGCTGAGAGAATCATTGAATGGAAGCCTATCTGCGGAAGGGAGAGGGGGATGGGACATTCCTCCGATT